TGTCCTAGCAGACGACAATCCAACTCACTACTGACTGAACTATTCTACTGTCCTAGCAGACGACAATCCAACTCACTACTGACTGAGCTATTCACTGTCCTAGCAGACGACAATCCAACTCACTACTGACTGAGCTATTCCAATGTCCTAGCAGACGACAATCCAACTCACTACTGACTGAGCTATTCCACTGTCCTAGCAGACGACAATCCAACTCACTACTGACTGAGCTATTCCAATGTCCTAGCAGACGACAATCCAACTCTCTACTGACTGAGCTATTCCACTGTCCTAGTAGACAATAATCCAACTCGCTACCGACTGAGATATTCCACTGTCCTAGCAGACGACAATCCAACTTATTACTGACTGAGCTATTCCACTGTCCTAGCAGACGACAATCCAACTCACTACCGACTGAGCTATTCCACTGTCCTAGCAGACGACAATCCAACTCACTAGTGACTGAGCTATTCTACTGTCCTAGCAGACGACAATCCAACTTACTACTGACTGAGCTATTCCACTGTCCTAGCAGACGACAATCAAACTCTCTACTGACTGAACTATTCTACTGTCCTAGCAGACGACAATCCAACTCTCTACTGAATGAGCTATTCCACTGTCCTAGTAGACGACAATCCAACTCACTACTGACTGAACTATTCTACTGTCCTAGCAGACGACAATCCAACTCTCTACTGAATGAGATATTCCACTGTCCTAGCAGACGACAATCCAACTCACTACTAACTGAGCTATTCCACTGACCTAGCAGACGACAATCCAACTCACTACTAACTGAGCTATTCCACTGTCCTAGTAGACAACAATCCAATCGCTACCGACTGAGATATTCCACTGTCCTAGCAGACGACAATCCAACTCACTACTGACTGAGCTATTCCACTGTCCTAGCAGACGACAATCCAACTCACTACTAACTGAGCTATTCCACTGTCCTAGTTGACAACAATCCAATCGCTACCGACTGAGATATTCCACTGTCCTATCAGACGACAATCCAACTCACTACTAACTGAGCTATTCCACTGTCCTAGCAGACGACAATCAACTCACTACTAACTGAGCTATTCCACTGTCCTAGCAGACGACAATCCAACTCTCTACTGACTGAGCTATTCCACTGTCCTAGCAGACGACAATCCAACTCACTACTGACTGAGCTATTCCACTGTCCTAGTAGACAACAATCCAATCGCTACCGACTGAGATATTCCACTGTCCTAGTAGACGACGACCCAACTCTCTACTGACTGAGCTATTCCACTGTCTAATTTCAGATTGTTCAGAAGGTCGTGATTCGGGATTTTATGCAGGTCGATATGATACATTTTGGATAAAACCAAAACTCTCTGCTGCTCCTTTCCAAGTTCGCTGCGACATGGTCTACGGCAAAATGTATCTCCAGATTAATTCCTACTGGTCCCCAAATGTATCATTTGACAGAACTTGGCAAGAATATGTCGATGGTTTTGGTGATGTTGTTGATTGGTTCGGAAGTCATTGGTTGGGTCTGCAAAGCATATTTGAAATAACCAACAGTCGCAGCTACGATCTTCAAATCAAAATCCACGTCAGTCAGCAATGGAAAAAAAAGACCATTAAATACCACGCTTTCAAAATTACGGATACTGCGTCGGGATTTCGGCTAATGATTGGAACAGCTGAACCTGTGGATTCAAGCCCATTAGAAGACTGTCTATCCGCTTTGAACAACACCGAGTTCAGTACTCCAGATAGACCAACGTCAATCTGTTCGTCAGCTGCCCAATCCGGTTGGTGGTTTGGTACGGTTGAGACCAACTGTAGCTGTTGTAACGCAAATGGAAATATTGACTTCTATAGAACGGAACAAGATGCGTTTTGGAATGACGGTTTTCAGACCGATACAGTCGTATATACAGAGATGGTCTTGTTGGCTGCTTGAATGAGAAGTTGGGCGAGTCGCAGCTTCCAGAAAACAGGAATTGTATGGAAGTTTTCTATATTTTGTATGTGTATCAGGGACACTGATAGCATCAATTTACATCATTCTAATTTTCAATCAGACGTCTGTGGTTCTTGTTAAAGAGATTGTAAAGAGGTTTTTCTATATTTTTTATGTGTATCAGAGACACTGATAGCATCAATTTACATCATTCTAATTTTCAATCAGACGTCTGTGATTCTTGTTAAAGAGATTGTAAAGAGGTTTTCTATATTTTTTATGTGTATCAGGAACACTGATAGCATCAATTTACATCATTCTAATTTTCAATCAGACGTCTGTGGTTCCTGCAATTCCACTAATACTTAGTGTTTAATGACGTCACTATTTACTACTAGGGTCTTGTGTGATACAAGCATATTTTGCGATTAGTGACGTCATCAAACACTTAGTTTTATTGAAATTGCCGGAACCACAGACATCTGTTTGAAAATTAGAATTTTGCGAGGAATGTGTCTACCAAGTACGAAATAAATTTTGTTTTATGAGCATCAAGTCTTTGTTTTATTTTAGAATTGATTAAAAAATTTGAAGACCCTTGGGCGGTACTGTTTTATAGAAATTGATATTGGAATTTCAAAGACAAAATCGTTTAAATACACTTTTGAAGTTTTACAAAAAAAACACTGCAAATTTTTCTTAATCAACGTGTTTTTAGAATTGAATTATTTGTGTTTTTTGGTAGAAATTACTCAATTTTGACATTTTATCAATTAAGTATTGCAAATTAAAAAGTGTCAATTTTATCTTTTCCTTATAAATATTGAAGTAAGCCGAAATCAATTTTTGAATCATTCTTTTATTTCAAATAATATCTCATAGTTCTGAGGTTTTTTTGGGTTGATTAAG